GTGTGTGTGTGTGTGTGTGTGTGTGTGTGTGTGTGTGTAACAGAGAGCTCATCAGTGAGGGAGTGCTGGCTGCCATGCCCTGAGGGGAGTCAGTGGGGAGAGGAGGAGACGCCAGTGCAGGCCATACAAGTCCCGCTGAATTCCCTCCTCCATCTAACCCTGACTGCCTCACACTGAGCTGCCAACAAACACGCTTTTCCTGTGTCTCAGTGTGTGTGTGTGTGTGTGTGTGTGTGTGTCATGGTGATATTAACTTTGGTGGGTTAGGCTTTAGGCTTTTACCACCTCACAAGGAAGAGGGCGAGCAGGCGAGAAAGGCTGCAACAACAACAACCTTAAGGCTCTCATTTCTCTGCTTACGTAAGTAACAAAGTTTCCTCCGTCACTGCTGTAATTGAAGTGGAACTGAACGAGCCGTGGCAAGCCAAAAGCCAATCACTCTAAAATCTGTAATGAGCCTAAACATAACTGAACACGTCCAAAAAGAGCCAAATCCCTCTGTAAAAATACGACACGAGCACTTCCACAGTCTGCTTCCTTCCTTCCTTCACCCTCCCTTGTTGTTCGTTTGTTTTGGCTGAACCCTTTGTGCCGCGGTGTGGGTCTTCGTTCTCTGCTGGAAGAACCGACGCTGGTTTACCTGTATCACTAAAACACCTCCGGCTTATCAAAAACGCCTTTGCCTTGCGTGCCTCGCACACAATAATCAGCGGTAGCTACGCTCAGTAGCTTGCTAAGCCTCTTACACCCTTCCCTCAAGATTAGTGCTTGGGAGCGACGACAGATGCGCTCCGTGGTGATAAAAACACACACATATGCAGACACACACCCTGCTGCACCTGTGTGAACAGATTTGACGGCGGCGTGCTTGCCCAAAGCTTACACACACACACACACAACACACACACACAAACGGAGTGCGGTGATGCCATAATCATGACACACCTGCAAGGCCTGGAGGTTTGGCTTGGCGCCACTGGTTCAAGCCCAGAGGAAAGAACTAGGCAAACAAGAGTTCAACGGCCAGGTGAGGAAGCTGGCTCAGTCAGACAGAAATGAGTCCAACCAACAACAAACTCTGTGTCAGGCACACAAACTTTGCAGCTCCGTGTCTCTTTTAGTGCTTTTTTATATATAATTCTTTGCATCTACAAAAGGATGGAAGTGGATTTGATGTTCATGCTGAGAAAAATTACCATCAAAGTTGACATGTGAGCCTGTGGGGTCTTCAACATGAAGGTTACAAAGACTCATATGGTCTTATACACACATTCAGTAGTGGAGAGGGGTGGCAGAGAAATAACACGACAATAAAATTATAGTGCCATTAATCCAGCTTTTACACAAGCTAAGCTAAAACCAATAATAAATATTCAAAATATAAATGAAAGCATTACAGATATGTGTATAAATCAAATCTGGCTAATATTTCAACAAGAAAGGAAAAAAATGCTTCTCTCGCTGTCAACAATAACAAAAAAGTGGCCCTTAACTTAAAATAAAACTAAATTGTCCTTGTTAGCGATCCTTGTTTATCACCAGAACATAGAAGGGCACTGAAGCAGCAAAATCATAAATAAACATGACAGATCAAAGTATTCTTACCACTGGAGAGGAGATTCGACAGCCAGGACAGTCACAGATGGGAGGGTGCACCTGTAAGATTCCTTTGGACATGAGAGTCTTCAGACTTTTCCCTGGAAATAAAAGAGATGCCCATTAGGAGGACACGCCATCCAGTAAACTCTCCTCCTCTGTGGCACCACAAAGAAGCACCTAAAACTGAACATTCCAGCATCAGTCACCTTTATTCAACGCTGACATCAGCTGTGCCCAAAGTGGGCCTGTCCTGAGTGGGCAGCGAAAGAGACAAAGGTCTGCAGTCATCTGTCCATGAGAATCAGCACGTTCCTATTAGGCTATCATATCTTATCTGGGGGCGACACCCTCCCTCTTCACATCTTGTCAGCTCTGAGTAACCTCTGTGTGTGCATGTGTGTGTGTGTGTGAGACTGTGCACCAGCCACAGACACTGCTTAAAATATTGTTTTACAAACCAAAATAACAAAAACAATGAGGACTCAGGACAAGATTGTTTAAGCAGAAAAAAATAGTAAACTCCTCCAAAAGAACACATTAAAAATATATATCTAATTAAGTTCATATTCTTAAACAAAATTATTATTATCCAAAGTTACTTTAAACTCAACATGCACTGCGTAAAAGTGTCAGCACTCATGCACGGTTGCACCTGTCCTTTATAAACTGTCATACCAGGTGGGGGGAATAAAACATAAAAAGTCTAATTCTCTTTTCACCTCAGCGCTGTGAAGCCAGTCCAGATGCCCCGGTGTGGTGTGTGATCGCAGCCCGGAGTCTCTGTCAGAGACTCGGAGGGTGCGTGGAGGACACTCTGCCTCCTTTACGCACTGACGGCTGTAACCCTTTCACTCCAAAACTCAGTACCGGACCACCAGAACCGAGTTGTTATAGAAAGCAGTCCATAACGCTTTAAAGGGTCCCTTCCCAGCCGGGACCCGTGAGGAAAGTTAAGTGCTGCTCTTACCTTTGTGCCGAATGCTCCGTTTCCAGTCCTTGGCGGTCTCCCGTCCACTGACGAACTGGAACTCGTTGGGGGTGAGCCACTCGCCCCTGTATTTGATCGAGGGTCCCTTGCTGCCCTGACAGAGTTTATTGATATAAAGCAAAGCCTTGTTTTCCCCGCACTCCACCTCGATGCACGGCTCCCCGTTGTCGAAGAAGGGCTGAAAGTCGGGGATGGAGGAGAACCTCTCCAGCATTAAGTCGTCCGTGTGGTGGTGGTGGAGGTGCTGGTGATGCAGCGCCGAGTCGTGGAGCCCTAGGTACGCGCGGTGATGGGCGAAAAGGTGGTCGTAGGGCGGCGGATGCGGGGTCACCACGGGGATGGCGGCGGCGTTTAAAGGGGCCAGGTATTCGGACTGGTTGAAGGCGGTCAGGGCCATGTCGTCCCCATCCAGCCGCTCCTTCTTGATGGCAGGCATGTTCGGAGCGGAGCCGAGCGCCGGGAACAAGTGAACAGCCGCTCGGCGGAGCAGACCTCAGCGTCCTCCTGCTCGTGCGCGCGTTGGGCTGACCCAGACTTGGAGACGCGCCGCTCGCTTTTACGCAGAGCCCCCCGTGTCTCCGAGAGAAAGCGGTCTGGTGAAGTTGCCGGATAGATTCCCATTCAGCAGTTAGCAGCTCGCAGCTCCTACCTCCCACATCTAATCTCCCTCGCGCTGTTAATAACCTGACATGCTTCTGGGAAGCCCTGAGCCCCACTGCGATCTGCCGCTCCGAGCGCGTCCTGCAGCTCGGATTTCTTTTGCCTCAAGGGGGAAGTTTGGAATAAGATTTATAACAGATATTATTATTATTACTGCTCGGATTTTCACCAAAACGGGGAAATAATCTTCAAAACTCAAACCAAATCAATCAGTTTAGGACTTCGTGTGACTAATATTACAACTCCACACAAAAATAAACGTCACTAACATCAATTTAAAGCAGCTTGTCGTTAATCTGAGACAAGAGACTAAACTTTGAGGCTTTAATAACCCAGGGTCATTCTGTCACATTAACAGAATTTAAAGTTTTGGAATAGTTGTTAGATTTAAACTCTAGTTTGGAGTCACGCTGAAGTTCACAGACCCAGACCAAACAAGATTTGCGCTCTGCGCCGCTTCTCGGTTTGGCCCATTTAAACAGCAGAGGCTTGGAGAGGAAGAGCTCAGGGGGGACTGCGAGGGACGGCGCTTCGGTGCGTAAAAAGGCAGGAACCATCAACTGAGAGCACGAGGAAGTAAACCCGCGTGCACCAACTTTACTGGATTTTAAAAACTTTCAAATCTCCCATCTTCTGATTTCCAATAGTTTGTTCGATTGTGAGCTGTTCTGTCAAAGCTCAACGCTCGACCTATTACGTTTTTTTAAAAAAACAAATTCAACACATTTCAGGTTCTCACTTCAACAGCTTGAGATCAGATGTTTGAAACGCCACAGGCCACCAGTGATCCACACTCTGGGATCAAACTCAACAATCATACTGGTTCTGTTTCACCAACAATGACTCCACCTCCAGTTTCCACAGAACTGCTCRGCCTCTGCCAAAACACTAAACCTATATTTGTTGTATTGTCCAGAAATTTGTGATGTATCACAACAAAGCGGTCACGATATATCGCGATACTGTTAGCAARGTGATATATTGCCTTTTTTCTGCAAAATATTCAGAATTTTAAAAACCCATCATAAAGAACACACCAGGCATTACATGCATAAATCAGATTAAATTCAGTTTATTTTTGTTCAACCAGAAAAACACTGAACAACACTTAGAACTGCATTTGTATTCACATTTCTACAACATCCATCCATTAAGCCTTAATTAAAAATCAATGTATTTTGAGAATTCATACCAGAAAATGAAATATTGTGATATTTCAGTGTGACAATATTTTCTTACACCTCTACTTAAACCCAGTTTACACTTCTTTCATGAGTTTAATTATTGGATTTAAAGCTCCATGAAAAGGTTCTAAACAGACCTGTTTGTGTTATTTTATTGTTGGCACTGTCAGGCTTGCTGTTTGCCTTTTATTCCAGTTAGAATTAAACTCACACTTTTTCCAGTTTAGATCATTACTTAACATTACATTACTAACATCTACAAGGTAAAATAACAATTGTTAGACCTTTTGACAGAACCCCACTAAGTATCTATTTAAAGTCAAACTGTGGATGCGTGTTTGTCTTTTCAAAGTACTTTTGCTGTTGTCTAATGAGTAATTCAAGACTAAACTTTTTCCAATAATGGCTAAAATGAAACTTTTAATCCRTGCCTTATTTTACAAGCAGGTGTACAAGCAGAAACTTTAAGAACGACATCTTTGAGAAACCTGTGCAAACATGTTGCTTTAACTGGACTTAAACCAAAGCCTTGGACCACGTTTTCTGAAAGCATTTTTCTTCTCCACGCTGTCTGCGCGGCAGGTTCCCCTGAGCTCCTGGAGCTTATGAGCAAAAACCACATCTGACCCTCATTCAGCGGAGAACCACCCAGGTGGATCTACCACCGACACATGGAATAGCCATCCCAGCAGCAGCAGAGGAGGGGTCCAAAGCGCTGTGTGTCAAGAGCTTATAAATTAGCCCAAACTGCCTCTGACACACACAGGAAGGAGGCTCACCACACCGCAGGCGGAAGCGGTGCACGAGACAGCCAGAGTCCACGGCCTGGCCAGAACTGGTGYAAAATACCAGACGAACATACAAACTCAAACACACACATCCTTGTACTTGCATCAAACTGAGGACATTGTATTGGCTTCCATTCATTTTTGTAACTGTATTTATGCCTAACTAACCCTAAAACTAACCTTTACCAGATAAATCCTAACACTAACTTGAACCAAAGCTTAATTCACAACATACCTCTAAACATAACTAGTAAAGCGCAGTAGAGCTGCAAATAAAGTGAGGACACTGAAGAGGTCCTCACTTTACAGCAAAAACCTCACTTAGATAGTAACTTGCAAATGGTCCTCACTCTGTAGTAGAAACAAGTGTACACACACACACACACACACACACACACACAGCTGCTGAAAACGATGGAGGTCTGCAGACTGACGTTTTTCCTTTTGGATACAAGTAACCGTGATGTCTGAGGAAAATGTAATGGGATTAAAAGGAAAGAAAAACAGAATTTACACTAAAAGCTGAAAAAAAGCAAGAACTCTGCATCACTTTTCCAAATCCCACCAAAGACATGAAAAACAGTATTTGAATCCTTACAAATTTATTTGCTGTTTTGTTACACTTTCATGCTTCAGATCAGCAAATAAATATTAACACCAATTAATATCTGATGTGTCAATGTGAAAGCTGTGAGTACAATTTCATTACCCACACCAAAGCCTGACTTCTGTTCTGACAGACCTGTGGAATCACCTAAATACAGCCACTATCAACAAATGGAGAAAACAGAATAGTGGTGAACCTTCCCAGGAGAGGCTGGCCAACCAAAGGTCCTCTAAACATTGACGATTCATCCTGGAGGCTCTAAATGAACACACCCTGTAACAGTTGCCCCCTTATATTCCTTAAAAGCCTTTTGACATGTTTTTATATTATATAAAGGTGTCATGCTAAAGGTAAGAACCAGAGGAAGCTGTCTGACACCCTGGTTTAAAAAAAAACTCCATCTGGAAACTTTTAAAGGCAGAAACCACACCGTTTTTATTCATAGGAGGAAGACAGACTGTTAAGGGGCTAAAGCCCTGCAGACTTATAGTTACCTTAGTTAAAATCAGAGTTCATGATTTAATAATAAGAAAAAATTAGGAAAATACTCTGTAAACTGATGAGACAAAAGTGGAACATCTGATTTAAACCAACACTGCATTTCAGAAAACATCAAACCTACATGTGTGTGCTCAGTGCTCACATGTGCAATGGGTGAAAAGCAGAGAATTCTTATATTTTCACAAGGGGATCAATAATCTATCTATCTATCTATCAAATATGGTGGTGATAGTGTGATGGTCTGGGGATGCATTGCTGCTTCAGGATCTGGATGACTTATCCTCTGAAAATCCTAAAGGAGAACGTCCATCTGTTAGTTTTGACCTTAAGTTTAAGCACACCTGGGTTCTGCAGCAGAACTCCTCTATATTATTTAAAAGCAGCATTTTGTATTCACTCTGGTTACCTTTGTCTAATATTGATATGTGTTTCCTGAATGTAAAGAAGAAATCTGTAAGGGCTCAAACAGTATTTCACAGCTCAGTCAAGTCCAAAACATGAAAGTGAAAAGGCAACATTTTCACTTTAACAACAACGTCTCCTTCCACGTGTTGTTGGATATATTACTGAACAGCAGTGCTGACATGAATCATGACCTGCTGACATTTACGGCGCATGTTTACAAAAAAAAACGTTTCAAGGAAGTGAGATGCTACGTTTCAGAAGAAAAGCTCTCTCTGATTCCCTCTTCATCGAAGCAGCCCTCGCCGCAACGAAATGTCTCGATGGAAACCTTGTTGATAAGTGCGTCGGTTGCACTATTGGGAGAGCCCTGGTGAAACTAGTCATAAAGGGGGACACCCATGCCGACACCCACTGCCCGTTCTTGCTCGTGACTCATTCTTGTGGGCTAATAGCAAAAGGGGTTCCCCACACATGTACAGTGACAATACTCGAGCTTTCACATCTTCAGAAAATGGTTTGGTGTTGAATGAGTACATGTTTTCCATCAGCTTTAGAGAAAGAAACTCTTTGTGATGTAAAGAATACCTTGTTTAACCTTTTTGCCTCCTTTGACCTTTTCACGTTCTTCCTTCCTTCCTTCCATGTTGTGGAACATTCTTGTGTATGAATAAAACTTACAAAGAATTGAGAAAGCCAAGGATTACCATGTAACATTTTACTAATTTTATTGTAAAACTGAAATAACCTCGGTTCTTGTCAAAGACCTCTGTGACATTTTAGACCAATATAAGATAGAAGAACAATAGATCCAGACCAAGATAATTTCACAAATGTAAAAAAAAAACAATTTAATTCAAAAAATTTCTAAATTAACCTGTAAAATGCCAACCGTCATCCCAAATTATTTCATCCAACAGAAAGACTGTTACTGAGACAGAAATAATACAACAAACTCTACTTTGTTCTTGTTCCTGTACAAATGTCAGCACAGCCAGCATCACAAAATGTGAGATTGTTCATGTTTCTGTTGTGTTTATTGATTTTTGTGGTAACCAGTAAGGCCAGTGTTTTTAATGTATAAAATGTATTTTGTCGTTTATAAAGTTGGTGTTACAGAAGAGTGTTTTCCTCTGGCAATAGTGTTTGTGTTGAATACAGCAGAAATGCTGCTCTCCTCTATAGAYGTATGGTCTATATATCTGAAAAAATGAAGGCAAAAGACTCCGGTTTAGAGCTAATCTTTCTCTGGGGTTTTGACTTGTCACAATGTGTTGCACTGAATTAACTGCCGCCACCACAGGAACCACCTTCCTCTGCGCCGGTAATCTGGTGCGTAACAAAACAAATTCAAACTTCTCAAACACCAAATTCAGGTTTTTAAAATTAGTTTTAAAAAAGTTAAATCACTGCACATCTCTGCTGGTAGATATATGAATAATAAACATTTGATTACTGATTTTTGAGCAATGTCACATTTTGGATGTTCAGCATTTTATACCCTTGTTTAGTTTGGTGGTCCACGTATGCAGAACTGAAAATATTTTCTGAATAATCTAAAATATATAGCAGGTGATGATCATTTCTAGTAATTTAACCTAATAAAACAGTTTAAAATTGTATTAAAATTTACAGTTCAAAGTTCACATTACAAAACCTTTTTTAATCATGAAGATATTAAAAATATAAAACCATTTTTTGACTTTTTTTATTTAAAGAATGCAAATTGCTGTCCTGCATTTCAAAGTTTTAAACAAACCTTGCATGGTGAGTTTGTGCTCGGAGTATGTGTTGGAGATGATTCTCAGCTACGACCGTGTTCATTTTTAATATGTGAAAAAATGACAAAGCTTACAGGCATTTTTGTGTTTGCGTTGATCAGCTGTAATGGCCATCTCAAATATGCTYGACTTAAAAAGTAAATCAGCTGTAAAAGTGC